CCAGTATGGACCTCCCAGGGCCTCCCAGTACAGCCCAGTATGGACCTTCCAGGGCCTCCCAGTATGACCCAGTACAGCCCAGAAACCTCTCAGTGCCTCCCCAGCAACCTCCCAGTACAGCCCTGTGCCCTCCCAGAAACCTTCCAGTAACCTCCCAGTACAGCCCCGTGCCCTCCCAGCGCCTGCCAGCAACCTCCCAGTATGGCCCAGTACAGCCCAGAAACCTCCCAGTGTCTCCCCAGCAACCTCCCAGTACGGCCCTGTGCCCTCCCAGTGCCTCCCAGTATGGCCCAGTACAGCTCAGTGCCTGAACCCCCTTTCCCAGCCCCAGGGCCGAGCTTTTCCGGGGATCTCTGCCTTTGGGGTCCCCCCCCCCTCGTTAAGGGGCCCCCCCTGATGAGGGTTTATTGGGGCCCACATGCAAATGAGGGGCCCAAATGACCCCAAAACCGATCCCAAAACTCACAGACGATCCGGAAGTGGAAGAGCCACGAGATGTTGGGGCTTCGCTCCATCTGGGAAAGGGGGGAAGAGGGGGGAATTAGCCCCAAAAAAGGGGGGTTTGGGTTGGGTTTAGGGCTGGTTTTGGGGCTGGGGGGGGGGGTTAGGGTGGTTTAGGGGGGGTTTTGGGGCGGGGGGGGGGTTAAGGTGGTTTTAGGGTGGTTTAGGGTTGGTTTTGGGGCATTTTTATCTCAGTGCTGGTTTAGGGTCAGTTGTAGGGTTGGTTGCAGGAGGGGAGTGGTTTTAAGGTTAGTTTAGAGTCAGTTTAGGGTTGGTTTTGGTTTAGGGTAGTTCTAGAGCTGGTTTAGGGTGTCTTTAGGGCTGTTTCACAGTGGTTTTAGGGCTGTTTTAAGAGTGGGGTTTGGGCTGTTTCTAGGCTGTTTTGGGATGGTTTTGGGCTATTTTAGGGTCATTTTAGGGCTGGTTTAGGGCTGTTTCCCCTGTCCCAGCACTTAAAAAGTCCACCCTGTCCTCAGCCAGCCAGTTTAGGGCTGGTTTAAGGTTGTTTTAGGGCTGGTTTAGGGCTGTTTTGAGGCTGTTTTAGGGCTGTTTCTCCCCCCCCAGCACTCACAAAGTCCACCCTGTCCTCGGCCAGCCAGTTTAGGGCTGGTTTAAGGCTGGTTTAAGGTTATTTTAGGGCTGGTTTAGGGCTGCTTTGAGGCTGTTTTAGGGCTGTTTCCCCCCCCCCAGCACTCACAAAGTCCACCCTGTCCTCAGCCAGCCAGTGGAAGCACTTGAGGAAGAGGAGGAGGGTGAAGAGGGCGACGAAGCGGGGGCTGAAGTCGTCCCTGAACACGGTGAAGGCCAAGCAGGTCTCGGTCACCGCGTACCACGAGCGCTCCAGGAGGTGCTGGGGGGGCACAGGGGGCTCAGGGGGGGCTTCAAACCCCCCCAGGCTGGACCCCAACGTGGGGCACGAGGGCTCCCGGGGTGGGAAACCCACCCAGGAGGGGAGACAAAGGATCCTTGGGGTTCAAAATCCACCCCAGAAGGGAGACAAAGGATCCCTTGGGGCTTAAAATTCACCCCAGAGTGGGAATAAAGGATCCTTGGGGTTCAAAATCCACCCCAGAGTGGAGACAAAGGATCCTCGGGGTTCAAAATCCACCTCAGAGTGGGAATAAAGGATCCCTCGGGGCTTAAAACCCACCTCAAAGTGGGAATAAAGGATCCCTTGGGGCTTAAAATCCACCCCAAAGTGGGAATAAAGGATCGGGGGTCAAAAACCACCCCAAAGTGGGGAGACAAAGGATCCCTTGGGGTTCAAAATCCACCCCAGAGGGGAGATAAAGGATCATTGGGGTTCAAAATTCACCCCAGAAGGGAGATAAGGGACCCTTTGGGGTTCAAAATTCACCCCAAAGGGGAGACAAAGGATCCTTGGGGTTCAAAATCCACCCCAGAGGGGGGATAAAGGATCCCCTGGGGTTCAAAATCCCCCCCCAAAAATGGCATCAGAGATCTCCTGGGGCTCAGAATCCCTCCAGAAACGGAGACAAAATAATCTCAGGGTTCAAAATTTCCTCCTCAAATGGAACCAAAACACTCTCACAGTTAAAAACCCTTCCAGAAATACAACTGAGGGTCTCTGGGGGTTCAAAATCCCCCCCAAAAAATGCAGTCAGAACACTCTGGGGGTTCAAATTCTCTCAAATACAGAAGCAAAATCTTCTGAGGATCCAAAATCTTCCCCGAAAAATCTCTGGAAGCCTCTTGAGGGTCAAACATCCCCCCCC